AAGTAAATTATGCCACATTTTGACTCTGAATATTATCAATGCTGATTGACAATATAAAATGTTAAATTTTTGGTACTCTTTGTATTCATTTGACTAAATATTATTTAACTTGTGGCAAATAGATTGTAAACTTTTTGTATGGAAAATGTTTTATAAAGTGTTTTTATTCCAATTTCTTGTATAATATATGCGTTTTAGTGGTAAGTAACAGATGTAAATATTCGTAGACATGAATTTCGATATTATTCCTAACGTGGTTGCCATAAGGTCGAATATTGTTTGAATCTGGATATATTTTATGTTTATACAGATCTGATAGAAACCTCGCGTAATCGTAAAAAAAGGTCCCATATTTTGTTCAAATCGAAAATACACTTTGTTTTTTTTTTAGGTGATTTTTTTAATCATAAAATAAATTGTCAATTTTATGATTAAGTCGACTCCATTCAATTCTCTATTCCAAATTTCTAGCGACCTGATATTCAAAGTTTTATACTATGCGAGTTATTGCGCAGTCTTAATATAAATTAGATTTATCTAAAAATCTGACGCAAAATAAGTCTATGAGGTTGACTTTGTTACTTTTAATAAAAAAAAAAAACTTCAGTTCTCTATTATAAACTGATATAAATTTATTATTAAAAAGCTAATATTGCCGAATTTTATTTTACATAAAAAAATATGATAAAATATACGATTAAATTAATATATAAATTAATTTTAATGTTACAATATTTAATTTGTAACATAGCATCGCAATATTTTGTAACATTAAATCATTTTTCACTCGTATCGTAACATCATGTTTCATTTGTCTTAAAAAATTGTGATATTCCATCAAATATTATCATCAAAACTTGTTCCAAGTCGACTTTAAAGTTTTTCCTATATATTTAAGTGTTATATTCATCATCATCAGGTCACTATACGTCCCCACCGAGGGGCTCGGAGCCTACCCTAAGTTAGGGGTGGGGTGTTATATTACTTCAGTTTAAAAAAAGATCTGAAACTTTTATAAATTATAGAAAAGACATTTTTACATTCATCATATCATTTAGTTACTTTAAACAATTCCAAGTGATTTTTTTTTATTTATCAGCACAAATTTTGGAATAACGTAACCCTTTGGGGACAAAATTAATGGACTGTTTGTCGCCTTATTGTGTTAGTATTTACTATGTATATAGCATTTTTATACGATGTACAAATGTTTGACAAATGTTGGCTCCATTTGAACCAATATGCAATTGACAAAGTACGAATGTTTGTCACAATCGCCAATCGAATCGTCATCGGCAAAATTTGTATTCAAATTTGTGGCAGCGCCCCCTGTCGAACGTAACGTACACAATCTCATACTAATTTAGAAATAATTGTCGTGATACAAAGATTCGTGCTAGGGTCACATGTAATGGGAATTTTAGTACAGTTGTTTGAATATATGACAACTGTCACGAATGTCACGTGACAAATGTTTGACAACCGTTTGACAACCGTTTGACATGATGACTGCATGAATCTTGATAACTGAATCATATGAAAATATCATGAAATTTTACTTATATATTTTAGCTTTGTAATTAATGTTTGTATTAAAATGAAATCCGGTTGTTTATTTTAAGATTTTACAAAAATCGTATTTAAAAAAGATACGTCCATTGATATTTTCAAATTAATCAATATTTAAACTGTAGGTTTCCGAGACCGAAATCATTGTATAAAACATATCATCTGTCATCATATATGTTTTAGAATTGAATTTTGGTCTCGGAAACCCACATAAAGGTTATTCCATTCCTTTAGCATTAATTTTAGTCATAAACTTTTTATGTCACCTGTAACTGTAAATATGACCTCATATTTAAGGTTATGTGCACACAAAGTTAAATTTAAAAGTAAAATTTTGTTTTTTTTTAATAAAAATTGTTTTTTTAACAGTTCAATTTCACTATGTTTATGTATTGATTAGTTTGAATTATAAAAATATAACAAAAGTCCGAAAAAATATGTAAACTACATTAGCATAGATTTTTTTTATTTAAATAAAAAATGCCACAAGAAATGAATTAAATACAATTAAAAAAAACTTACTTTATTTAAGACATTTGAAAAGTTTATAATGAACATTTTATATGCATTTTTTTCAATATAAAATGTATATTTAAAATTTAATGAACTAAGGACTGTTTAGTGTTCATTTTAAGATAAGGCCTTGTCTTGAGGCTTTTAGTAGAAGTTTTTTTGGCGATATATTCGCATATGGCAAGCGTAGCATTTGTTAATTTGAGTGTTGCCATTTCATGACGGTTGTGTGGTAATTATACTTCGGAATTCCCTTATTTAGTTTTAATTTTTTTTACTGGTTTGTAAATTACGTAATTTTTTTTCTTAAATGTTTATTTATATTTTAATATATATATCGATTATGTATTTTTTTGTTTTATTTAAACACGTTTTGAAATATTGACGCTAAGAATGATGTCCAAAGAGGTTAGTTTGAACTCACCTCTTTGGACATCGTTAATTCGTATTCAAATGTTGAAACTCTGTGAAACTGTACCAACTGTTGCTAATTCCTGATACTTTTTCATTTAATAGAAAATGCTGAAAAAAAATTTGAAACAAAATATTGCAAGAAAATGGAAAAAATCCAAGGAAAAAAAATCTTAAAGAGAAAAGATTGTTTCAATTTTTTTTTGTTTTCACACTAATCTGTAATTTCACGATTATTCCTAAAGATAGCGTCCCTCAGGACATCTGTTGGTGCATTACATTAATATTCCAAACAATTTCTATTAATATAGAGCAATAAATTAAGATTTTATATCTGTAGAGCGGAAAAAATCTGTTCCTGTTTTCTGGATTTTTTATAGATTTTGAAAAAAAAATTTTTTTTAACTTTTTTTTAATTGTAGATGATAAAAAAGCAGACAAATAGAGCCTCAGTAACAACTAGCAATAAATTTTTCCATTTCAAAGATATAAAATAAGTGAATTTTGTATTTAAATGTATTTATTTGAGAGAGTTATTTATGAATTGCTCTTACAATATTCTATATTAAATGATATTTTTGTGTTTTACTTAAGCTATTAAGTTAAAATAAAATATATCGTTTTGAGTTTATTTCGTTGTTTCATTGAGCAATTATTAGTGATAATAGAAATCCTAATTTCGCTGCGTTACGATAAAATTACGCTAAACAAAAAAAATGAGTTGGCACTCTGAAAACAAGAGTACTCTTTTCCCAGATGTGCCAACTCTTGTGTTGGGTACGTTATATCAAAATATCGTAACGTCATCTCTTGCATTTGATGCGGACTACTTTTGGATGAGTCTAATTAGTGGAGATTAAAAAATATTCAAAGAAATACTTTGAAAAGACATATTTCTTTATTTCCTAACATAAAATTATTCTCGTAAATACTAAATTTTAATCAATAAACACGCCAAACAAGTGAATCTCGATTAACGATTAACTAATTTAGAACAGGAACAATATTTCTGTTGTCGAATTAAAATCTAGAACGTAATGTCTTAGCTAAATATAATAGAAACTCACTCGATACTTGATTACTAACATCCGCGCGGTTGTCAGAAATTGGCGCCATAATTCAATCAGGATACGAGTGTCAATAATATTTTTTAATTAGGTTTTTTTTTCGATTCGGTCGACAAACGCGTTCGGTCAAAAGAGCGCTCTGCCTAAAGAGATACAAATAAAGTAGTTATAGACAGGACATTAGGAAAATTTTCTTTTAGACAGTTTAAATCGTCGCAACAATAGTTTTTTTTTTATAAAAGCACTTAACAAAATTAGTTGCAATAAAAGTAATTGAGGAAATAGAGACCTAAAATAATAAAAGTGGTGACTTAAAAATAGTATAGACAGGATAGAAATTGATATCCTCTTTGGTAGAAACAGTGGTTTATATGTTTGAGGTTAAGTTTTTTTTTTATATCATAAAGTGGCAAACGAGCGAGCGGCCACGTGAAATCGCTGAAATAGCAAAGTGACCGTTGCCCGTAGGCATACGCAATTGCATATGCATTGCCTATCTTAAATCGACGGAGGAGAGGATGCACAGAAAGAAAATATTTTCCCTTCACATGCATCCTTTCATCCGGAAAGTCCACTTCCATTTCCCATCCTTTCCTTATAAGAAAAAGGATGGGAAGGGAAAGAGGCTTAAATTAGGCCTCCGGGACACACACTCACACACGAAACGCGGAATTGCTTCCACTTGACGCCTGTCTTCTGTGTGGTCGTGGTATTTCACCGGGCGAGCCGGGACAATTCGTGCGAAGATGTTAAAGCGGGCTCAACCACTGTTAAAACTGTCAAGTTCATCAAGTCCGGTCTTTATATTCTTAAGTCTTTGAAACCACACTCCAAAAACTACATACAGATTAAAAACTTGCTATATATTTGTTATCTGTGATTCAAAATATTTCTATTGAATACAGCGCCGATTGATTTGTTATAATTATTTCGTGAATGTTTTATCGTAAATCAATATGAAAATATAAAAACTTGTATTCGACTCTGTTAAATTTAGTTCATCTGAATGAAATGAGATTGAAGCGAGCTGTGTCCTATATTTTTTTTACGACAGATGAGTCAAAGATGAAATATAAATTTCTATATTATGTGTTCAATATATTTAAATCGCACGCGTGTTACAATGTTCTGTAAATATAAAGTTACTTGGTAAATGCAGCGATGTTTATTAACATCTCACGTTCTTAGTTTTTTTATAACGTGCCTTAAAATTAAATCTTAGATCTTACTAATATTAATGCGAATGTATAGATGGATGGATGATTGTTTGAAGGTATCTTCAGAACGGCTGAATGGATATCGCTAAAATTTGGCATAGATGTAGAGCATAGTCTGGAAGAACGCATAGTTTACTTAAGATTTTTTTTCACTCAACGTGGATGGAGTCGCAGGCGATAGCTTGTGTTTGAATAAAATAAAATGCATAATTAATTTCCATTATTTATTCGTTACTTTCCACGATAATTTTCTTGTTTTTATATAATATTGCCCTCACTAGAGTTATTTATATTTGGCACGGTATTTGGCGTTGTTATCTATCATAAAATACTGAATATTTCACTCTATTGCTCCACTGATTCATACACATTTCTTTGGTAAAGACATCATATGTTTAAATACGATCCAGCGAAAACTTTCCAGCCGTCTTAACAATTCTTATTTTACTGAATTATATGTTTATAAGAAAAAAAGTCTCGTTAATTTAATGATTTTGTAAATGCTTAGAAGCGGAAAGTTTCCGCTAATATTGTAACTTTAACCCTCCGTTAACTTTAGGTATCCAAACAAACATTCTTTGGATTATCTAAACAAGTAGAAAAAGAACTAACACCTAATAAGACTATTTAACAATATGTCTGCAAAAAAAATCGCATCAGAATCTTTTTGAACTAATCGTTTGAATTCTCTAATTTACTTACAATACTAAAATTGACACCTAAACGGTTCAAATAAATAATTTATTAATACCAGATGTCTAAGTTACAACGAAGAACTTAAGAAAAACAATATTGCACTTAGCTAGTACCGTTTATATAGTTAGAGGCAAACAACCTTTTTGCATAAAAATATCGTCTACAACAAACACAACATGTCCTCGTCGAACTCGCGTCGTCGCCTCCTCAACACGTGCGAACAAATTACTCACAACTAAGTCTTCCCAAATATTATATACTTTCAAATTAGTTGCAAGAATTCGAAAAGAAAATAATTTACATTTTATAAATATATTACTTTGGGAGTTTATAAATATAATTATGGTCATAAATTATGGAAAACATATCAAAAATCCGATCATGTATAAAAATCAAAGAGAAAATGAACACTTAAAAGCCAGTCGACGTTTGAAGTAAGCATAGAGTATATAACATTAGATCAGTAGATTAAAGTATATTCAAGTGAGCAGCTATATATTCAAACGAGAAAATAATAACATCTCATAATGTAATCATTTCAATAAAATGCAAAACGAAATGCAAGTTAGAAAACTTAGTCGCTCATTTCAATATTCTTTAAATTAAACGTATAAATGTCTTTTGGCCCGCAAAAGTGAACAACGTCGTCACATACATCCACATAGGAAGACGTCATTTGGCAAATAGATTTAAATCCAATTAAAGTTAACTCCCATTAATCCTATACAAACGAGCATTATTTAATTATTGCTTTATTTTCATTTGGTCTATCAAATCCATGGCGAGTGATCATTCGTGTAAATGATAAGTTGTGTGCTATCCGTGTGCTTATCTTCAATTACCAGCTAGAATAGAAAGAAATAAAGCGTCTCCACAAACAGTTACTACGAGCAGCGAAACTATCAGTAAAATACGTCTAAAAGATGAACACTAGTTATCCTAACGGGATCGCGTCTGTCGACTTCACAAGGTCTGCGGTAAGGTTCCTCCTGAGATCACGTTCTTATACTTTAAGTACATTCTATTATTGCGTGTTTACAATTGCACTTTTACCATTGCAACGAACAGATGAGAGAGTCTTTGATACATTCGATTCACACCACAAATGCATTGTCCAGAGCGAGCGCGGTCAGCCGGGCCGGGCGCGCCTCACACGGGCGGCTCCAGGTGCCGCTGCAGAGACGTCAGTCAGGTGTGGAACACCCACCCTGGGATCGGAGGTCACGCGTCCGGGACGCCGTGAATGTGGTGCTGGTAGTTGTGGTTCAGCTTGTTGGCGAACTCGTGCATGATGTCCCTGAAGATGACCGAGTCGAGGTTCTCGCCGAGTATGTAAAGCAAATACCAATCGCCCATTTTGCTGCGGCGCACGATCGTGTCCACATTGTCGCGCCGCACGAGCCGGAAGCGCATGCGCATCATGTAGACGCGCATTCGCGGCGAGAAGATGATCACCAGCCGGTACACAAGCGTGATGAAGGTGAGGACGCCGAGGATGACGAACCAGAACCAGAGGAAGACGTAGATCTTCTCGTTGACGACGTTCAGCGGCAGAATGCAGAGCGCGTCGTGCCGCTCCACTTCGCCCGACGAACCGAACTTGTTGAACAACGTGCATTTCACCATTCTGTAACATCAACATTATATCAGATTTTAAATACAGTAATACTTTAAATAAAAATAACATAATCAGGCTACTACAGCTGATTACTGACAACCGCAAGCGGCGCAGCGACGAGCGATGCGGGCTCTTACAGCAACCACATTTACAATCCAATTAATGGATTGTAATAACTAATAACCTTAAAAAGAACTCGCAATTTCCCTCAACGAATGGATACAATCAATTGAAATAAATAGATTATGACGATTAAAATCAAAAACTACTGGAATGATTTCACAAATTCTTTTTCCATCACAAAGCTACATTATCACTGAGTTACAATTTCGTAAAGAATAAGTCGGGGGCAAAAACTAGTATGTCATAATAAAAATGCACTGCAGCAAAGTTATACATAAGTTTAAGTGAGCGTGTTTGGGTTACCTGGGGAAGACATATATCATGGGGTCGACGCGGTCCTCCTGGTCTGACTCCATGTACGCGATCACCTTCAGCCCGAACGTCATGAACTCGCCGTCGAAGAACCGGTTCATCAGGAACATTTGCCCTGGACAATAATAGATTATAAAATAACCGGAATAGTGAACTGTCATTTAGGGATTACTCCGGGGAAATATGACGTCTGTTGTAAATGATATTCAATAATTTTGTTGATTCATTAACTGCAACATTGTCTTAAGTAAACACTAGCTACAATACTGCTTAAAAATCGGGGCCTCCTTTTTTGATATCGGGGGAAATCTTCCAAACATCCGACTGCATCCGACTCTGGCACCACAAGCGCCAGAGTCGGATGAACAGGGTCGTCTGCGGTGCCCCCTTTTGTCTGGCGCCCTGAGCGGTCGCCTCACCTCGCCCTACCCTAACCGCTACTGTTAACCATTAAATGTTTGTATGGCATCAAGTAAACACCACAATGTTGTCTACGATATCATAAAGCAGTAAAAATAGAAACCCATTTATATTCAAAGTTGGTATTTGATCTACATATATGATAAAGAATATGGATTTATGTATTTTATCATATCCATACAATAGTATGATTAATGTTTTTAAATTTAAATTCCTTTGATAGCTTCGGAAATACGAACTGAATTTTCGAATTCGTTTCAAAACGATTTATTAAAATGAGTTTCATAAAACGGTCAGTGCACGTCGTTGGTTTTTTCAATAAACCTTTCCGTTTACTTCCGGTAGTTATTTTTATTTTTTTTTATGTATTAATAAAAGTAAGGCCAGTGTGTGCTGACGAAAGCTGTCGATGTCATTCCAGGGAGGGCTATGAAATAAACGATAAAAGCTTTGAAATAATAAACAAAAAGAATTCACAAGACAATTTAAAATATACATTCCAATGAAAGCAATTAATGCTTAGATTGTATTTAACCTTGCAATTAAAAAAAAAGTTTTCCAAAAGATTGCAATTCTTTTACTGTACATTACTTTGTACAATTTTAGCAGCGAAAACGTACAAAAAAATTTATAAACGATTAGAAATTAACATAAATTTTTATAAAACGAGTGGAAAAATTATTGACGAAAAAAGTCAGTTTCGTGGCCCGATATTTTGCCAAACTTATATCAGTAGCCATCTGTGGTGCGAGCGGGTCTGAATCTCAAGTACCTTACTCGTGCCTACCTCCTCGCCGCAAGTTGTAAATCATAACATGTAACATTAAAACTATCCCATCCCTTATTGAGAGATACTTCTACATTACTTAAGTAGATTTTTTAGAACAAAATTACTAAAAAAGAAAGGATAAGAGGGAGAAGAGGAATTGGTGAGAGCGCCACCGACACTCCAGGGACGGAATAGCAGTGAATTCAGGTGGCTGGTTATTCCTTTGCCAATATTTATATATTAAAAATATATTTTATGTCCTCACCTATAACATTGATAAGGGCAAGCGACTCGCAGAGGTAGTACCTGTAGGCCCACCAGTTGTGGTACCTCAGGTTCTCCCACAGGTAGTCCAGGATTAGTTTCTTCTTCGTCTTCTTTTCTATCTCTGTGCAGACCCCGACGTCGAGGTCCATCATGAGGGCGCGGATCTTGCCCCCCTCCCAGGACTTCCACAGCCAACGCGGTGCATAGAACAACATCGCCTGCAACAACAACATTCAATCAGAAAGTTTCAAATCTCTTTTTTGGTATATAATAATAGTTAAAGTGAAATCTTTAAAGTTCACAACATTGTATTAATCTCGTATTTAAAAGAATCACGTCTTGAATTAACTTGTAACAAATTCACAATATTAATTAATTTACTGTCAGTTTCTGAGACCAAAATCCCCCTTTAAAACATATAGTTGTCTCTGTTTTGTCAACGATGAAAGAAAAGGACAATCATATATTATATACAGACATTTGGTCTACGAAAGCAACGGTCAGAAATATTTCCGAGTTGACAAATTAGGTTGTATATATATAAATATTTTGTATCTATGTTGATATATAATACTATAATGCATACATACAAATAAATAAAACAGATCTCTAAGTGATTCATGATACGAGTTACTCTAAATAAAACGTTCTAAATCAAAAGCAGATATTTTGGCGTAGCGGCCGCCTCGACCTGAGAACGCGTACGAGTGTACACGTTGCAAAATAGACTCATTTTAAAGGCGGCAGAGCTGCAAACGCATCTGCTGACGTTACAGCAATAAATTCGTTCGGCTAGACGATGCCATAAAACAGCGCTTTATGGATATGAAGTATTATCGGAGTTTTCATCGCGTGCGTTTCAATACTACTATTTATTTAGGACGGCAATGTTTTTGCTGGCCGTACAAGTTTTGCAAACGATATCTCAATTAAACTTAAGTCTTTATGCTGCCGCTAGATGGCGTTAGTTGTACGATGGTCATGCAAAATAAGAAAAACGGCATAGCAAAGAAAATTTTGTAATGAATCAAAAATGTAAATTGAATAATATTTGTTCAGTAAATTGTAGAACATTTTGATTCACACTATTAATAAATCGTAATCGTATTTAGTAAGATTATATTTTAATTATTTAGTTTCCTAGAACTAAGAGTGTAAATAATCAATTTATTATTGTTAAAAAAAAGAAAAAAACATAAAAATCGTAATAACATAATCGCAATTATGCAAAGTTAAACCATATTTTTATTTATTAACAAAATTAATTAGTTATAATAAAAAGCAATAGTTATAATGGAAACTGATTAATATTTGAGTTTGAGGTTCGCCTAATCCGCTGTGACTAACAAGCGCAGAGGCAGTTGACCTTTTGTCTTGTTAGTTAGACATCAAGTGTGTAGTTGGCCTTAGATGTTTCGTCGCTGCCCGAACACAAAACCTTTAAAAATAAACATACATTTGAACGATAAACAAACATGTAACTATTTACAACGTCAAAATTACAATATTGAACGAATTTACAATTTTACAATTGAGTCATCCTTAACTTGGAAAACTTATCTCGGTGGAGACGTAATAGACACACCACTCATGATGACATAAATTAAATTGTCTATGCTTCAATCTTACCTTAGTTTATTCCTGTTTACTTGGTTATAAATGATAAGTGGATATCACCTTGTAGTCAATTTCTATTTGATTGTTTACCGCTATAGTAAATAAGATATAACAAAAAATATGCACGTAATGCGGTCGATCAAAGTATAAAATGTAAATAAGAATGTGTATTTGTTATATAAAACATATAACACTTGAATATGTCTATCTTAGAGTTTGTCGCGTTGTGTTCAAGTAGTTTACATCCGAGCGAGCGCCTCTCAGCTGTAAAGATAAATTGCCGCAATGAAGACATCGATGTGTGTTAACTTTACCTATTCTTATTTATTATAAAAGTAGAGAGAATATAGAGAAGATAAATATTGTCAATCTTCTATAATAGAAAGAAATTAAACCATACCTTTGTATCGAATTGGCAATTGGCAAATTAAAAGATTTTGCTCTGTTAAACGAATGTCTTGATATAAGAAGTCTTTTTATATTCTTTAACAATATTTCTCAATTTCCGAGACATTCATAACAATCGCTAACAGCTTAGTTATCGTAACGAAACAATTTCGTCGAAAGCGCAATTTAGTTTGTTCGGATATTGGTTGTGTTTATTTCGGTAATGGGGCGGCGGGGCGAAGCGGCAGCGGGGCAGCGGGGCGAAGGGGCAGCGGGCAATATCGTCGCACGTGCTTGTAATTGTCGGTTAATATTGCGCCTCGATACGCACTATAGTGCACGCACTACACGACGACCCGAGGTGTGACTCACTTGGCACAGGACGCCCGCGTCCAACTCGCTAACTACAAGTAACAAGATACTAGCGATTTTTAATAATTAATATTACACAGATTAAAAAGTTAAAGATATTTTATTATCTATGGTAACTAAAAGCAAATGAAATTAAAATTAAAATTAAAAAATATTCGAAATGTAAAGATGTCGTATTTTGTGTTGACACAATCCGCTATTCGCTTAAATATTGCGCGACATGTGAACGGCCAAACGATTCGTTTTTCAGCGGGACTCGTGACTCTTTCAGGGTTACGTGAGTGTATTGAGAGGAAATTCGTCACACTCAATGAGTTATGACATAATAATAATTATAATGACCTATATTTACCAGCTGCGAGGACAGTTAAAAACCAGAAAACTACGCGCAACAAACAATGTATATTTAGACCAATTTTTAGTATGACGTCATATAGATTCTAATAAACAATCTATAGAGATAAAATTAAGAGTATCATCATCATCAGCTCACTATACGTCCCCACCGAGGGGCTCGGAGCCTACCCTAAGTTAAGGGTGATTAGGCCATAGTCAACCACGCTGGCCAAGTGCGGGTTGATTGACTTCACACATATCCTTGAATTTCTTCTCAGGTATGTGCAGGTTGCATCACGATGTTTTCCTTCACCGTAAGAACGTCGGATAAATGTACATATGTAAATCGGAAATCGAAAAACACATTGATACATGGCGGGATTCGAACTCAGGACCTGCCGATTGCAAGTCAAGTGCTTGACCACTGAGTCACCGACGCTCCACAAAATAATGAGTATAT